TCATGGAGATCTTGACGTTCCTGGCCATCTTCACCGTCATGGGAGATCTTGACTTTCCTTACCATCTTGACCGCCTTGGAGATCTTGACGTTACTACCCATCTTGTCCGTTTTGGAGATTTTGATTTTCCTTGCCATCTGGACCGTCTTGGAGATCTTGACTTTCCATACCATCTGGACCGTTTTGGAGATCTTGACCTTCCTTACAATCTTGACCTTCTTGGAGATCTTGACTTTCCTTGCCATCTTGACCGCCTTGGAGATCTTGACGTTCCTTGCCATCTGGATCGTCTTGGAGATCTTTACATTCCTTGTCATCTTGATCGTCTTGGAGATCTTGACGTTCCTTACCATCTGGACCGTCTTGGAGTCTTGACGTTCCTTGCCATCTTGACCGCCTTTGAGATCTTGACGTTCCTTGCCATCTGGATCGTCTTGGAGATCTTGACTTTCCTTGCCATCTTGACCGCCTTGGAGATCTTGTCGTTCCTTGCCATCTGGATCGTCTTGGAGATCTTTACATTCCTTGTCATCTTGATCGTCTTGGAGATCTTGACGTTCCATACCATCTGGACCGTTTTGGAGATCTTGACCTTCCTTACAATCTTGACCTTCTTGGAGATCTTGACTTTCCTTGCCATCTGGATCGTCTTGGAGATCTTTACATTCCTTGTCATCTTGATCGCCTTGGAGATCTTGACTTTCCTTACCATCTGGACCGTCTTGGAGTCTTGACGTTCCTTGCCATCTGTACCATCTTGGAGATCTTGACGTTCCTTGCAATCTGGATTGTCTTGGAGATCTTGACTTTCCTTGCCGACTGGACCGTCTTGGAGTTCTTTACTTTCCTTCACATCTTGATCGTCTTGGAGATCTTGACTTTCCTTGCCATCTGGACCGTCTTGGAGATCTTGACTTTTCTTGTCATCTTGACCGTCTTGGAGATCTTGACGTTCCTTGCCATCTGGATTGTCTTGGAGATCTTGACGTTCCTTGCCATGTGGATCGTCTTGGAGATCTTGACTTTCCTTACCATCTGGACCGCTTGAAAATCTTGACTTTCCTTGCCATCTTGATCGTCTTGGAGATCTTGGCTTTCCTTGCCATCTGGACCGCCTTGGAGTCTTGACGTTCCTTGCCATCTGGATCGTCTTGGAGATCTTGACTTTCCTTACCATCTGGACCGTCTTGGAGTCTTGACGTTCCTTGCCATCTGTACCGTCTTGGAGATCTTGACGTTCCTTGCCATCTGGATTGTCTTGGAGATCTTGACTTTCCTTGCCGACTGGACCGTCTTGGAGATCTTGACTTTCCTTCACATCTTGATCGTCTTGGAGATCTTGACTTTCCTTGCCATCTTGACAGTCTTGGAGATCTTGACTTTTCTTGTCATCTGGATCGTCTTGGAGATCTTGACTTTCCTTACCATCTGGACCGCTTGAAAATCTTGACGTTCCTTGCCATCTGGATTGTCTTTGAGATCTTGACTTTCCTTGCTATCTTGACCGTCTTGGAGATCTTGACGTTTCTTCCCATCTGAATCGTCTTTACTTCCACGGCCATCTTTATCAAACCAGAAGACTTTCTTCCCGATATAAAACAAGCGAACAATACAATGTCTGTAACGCCGAGATGAAGGATTCTACCATGCGTCGCGCAGATGTGCATCTGTAAATGAAAAAAATAAATTTGTATATTTGAGGTGCCTACATCTTCTCCACATCGACGAGATTGCCCCTGTTAAATATTCCTGTGAGATTGCACCTGCTAAATATGTCTGTGAGATTGCACCTGCTAAATTCCCCCGGGGGATTGCACCTGCTAATAATCCCTGGTAGATGGAAGATTCTCAATACCCAATGTGAGATGGAGCATGGCTAAATATCCCCGGGAGATAGCTCCTGCTAAATATCCCGGTGAGATGGTGCATGCGAAATATGCCTGTGAGATTGCTGCTGCCAAAATATCCCTGGTAGATGGCACATGCTAAAAATGCCTGTGAGATGGTGCATGCTAATTATCCGTGGTAGATGGCACCCGCTAAATAACCCTGTGAGATTGCAAGTGATATATATCCCTGTGAGATTGTTCTTGCTAAATATCCCTGGTAGATGGCACTTGCTAAATATTCCTGGTAGATGGCACCTGCTAAATATTTCCGGTAGATGGCACATGCTAAATATATGTGTGAGATAGCGCGTGCAAACTACCCGTCGTAGATTGCACCTGCTAAAGATCCCTGTGAGATTACACCTGCTAAATATCCCTGTGAGATGTCACCTGCTAAATATCCTTGTGAGATGTCACCTGCTAAATATCCTTGTGAGATTGCACCTGATAAACATCCCTGTGAGATTGCACCTGCTGAATATCCCCCGTGTGTTTGCACCTGCTAAATAACCCTAGTAGATGAAGGATGCTAAATAGAACTTATCCCGCGATATGCCAAGGAGAGGGACGGGCCACCGAGCCGTGGATGCCCGTGCCTATAATAAAAACAGAAGATGAGATTGGGTTAAATGGCCGAGGGTGTGCAGGTACTAGTGGGCTACTTAGCTGCTAATTGTGTATACCAAAATGCTACCGTTGCCATGGTCACGCGCGTGGCCAACGGCGATTGCAGCTAGCGCTGCTGGCCTGAGACTGCTACCGCTGTCCGGCCCCCACGGTATCATATTTAACCGCTACCATTGCTTGGCAACTCCCACGCTGCCAAAAGCACCTCCACGCTGCTGGCCTAAGTCAGACTACCGCTGCCCGGCCCCAGGTAGCCGGCCAAAGCAGATCCCACTGCCCGGCCCCATTAGCAAAACCATTGTGCGGCTCCCGCCGCGGACCCAACTGTCAGCTACCGCTTGACAAGACGACTTCCGCCGCCGGGCCCATATACGTGGCAATTGTTTGCCCCAACGTATGTTATTTTACGATTCCCCGGCTGAAAGGTCGGGAAAGACAAGGTTCCCACTGAGAAGCAGGTAACCCCGGAAAGGTTCCCGCTGAAAAGCAGGTAACCTTAAGCACGAGTATTAATTTGGAAGCAAGTTAATTTGTTACTAGCAGTGTAGCCCACAAGAACCCCGCCACAAAGCACCAGAGTGCTACCCCACACCCACGGCCACACGATACGCGGAGATAGCATTGTTGCCCGGCTTGCCTATGTACTGAAAGGAAACACTAACCTGTGGAGATAATATCCTTACTGGCGCAAAACAAGCGCCAGGGTATGCAATAAATTGTCCGTAAACACACACAGTCCTTTGTCACTGAGGTGGACGCCCTCCCAGGCGTACCATGTCTTGTCTGATGCCAGGATCTGGGGATGTGGCACCATTGTACCGCCGAGCTCTTTGACTCGGTTGGCCAGTCGACGGTTGATATTCTTCCGCATTCCCTCGATCTTTAGTGGGTCCCTGGCATCGTGCCAGTAGCGCCTGGGCAGCATTGAGGATACGATGATCTTGGTGTCAGGAAGCTGGAGTTGTATCCGAAGGATTGATGCCACCATGTCAAGGTAGCGTCAAGTCCCGTAAAGTTCCATCCGTCACCCACTGGGGTGGCCATGCGCCGTTAAACCATTTGCCCTGCATGTAGGCCCCAAAGCCGGCGCCACCCGCTGCGTCTGAAAACAGCTGGAGGAAATCGCTGTCCACCCATAGTTGGTCCTGAAACACTGAAATGCCGTTATAACTCGTAAGAAATGTTAACCACATTTGTAGGTCTTCCTTGACCCAGCTGGTAATCCTAATGTGGTGAAATGGTTGCTTACCTTTGCTAAGCAGATCGGTTAGCCTGCGGCTGAATGCCCTTGCCATTGGTATAGCCCTGCACATAAAGTTAAGCTTGCCTATGAGGGACTGAAGGGCCCTTTTTGTGACCTTGATGTTACCTGTTGACAGGATGTCTTGGATTTCCCTTGTTGCCTCCTTCATCTTGGACTCTGGGATTCTGATCTGCATTGCAATGGTGTCGATTTCCAGCCCTAGGAATGTCAGTTTGGTTGTGGGGCCCACCGTCTTGTCGTGCGCAATAGGAACCCCAAGCTGTTCTAGTGTATTCACGCATCCGTTGAGGTTGTCTGAGCAGTGGCTGGTGCCTGCTGTGCCCCCCGTTAGGAAGTCATCCAGGTAATGCATGATCGGACACGTTGGAAGATGCGATTGCATGCACCATTGCAAGAAGGTACTAAACGTTTCAAATATGGCGCAAGATATGGAGCAGCCAAATGGTAAGCATTTATCGAAATAGAACCCACCTTCGAATCTGATGCCTAGCAGCTCGAAATCGGATGGGTGGACTGGTATAATTCTAAAGGCCGACTGAATGTCGAATTTTGCTAGTAGTGCTCCCTTTCCCAGATGTTGAACCATATGGGTAGCTTCATCAAATCTGGCGTACACAACGGAGCAGGCCTCAGTGTCTATGAAGTCATTTATAGATTTACCCCTGGGATAGGATAGATGGTGAATTAGACGGAATTCCTCCGCATGCTTACCAAGGTGCTGACCATATCCGGGCTGCTTCTTGGGCACCAGGCCTATTGGGGATACTTGGAGGTTGTCTAGGGGGGTGTCCTTGAAGGGGCCCGCCATCCTGCCAAGGTCGACTTCCTTTTGTAGTTTTTGTTTCACGTAGCCTGCCGTGTCTTGGTGCGTGGCTGATCGCAAGTTTCGTGCCAGGCGACCCGTGCGGCTTCCCTGGAACTCGAGCTTAAAGCCAGAGCTAAAACCTACCCATAAATAATTTGCATCTCTGTAATTGACCCTAGCATATTGGCGTAACCAGGGTGCCATTTCATTGAGATCCACGGGGGAAGGGGCCATTGAATTTACCTGCCTTGACGGCTGGTTTTCTGTTAGGAAAAAGGCTGATTGGGTTTGTATGGGGTCGGTTGGACCCCATTCCCTCGAAAGTAGGTCCTAGAGCTGTGGGAATGTTTGCAACACTTACCGCATTTGTGAGTGTACTTACAGTTGACCCTGCTACAGCCAAATTTATCGAAATCCCAGCATACCTGACTGGCGATGTCCCCCTGTACGCGTGTCATTGCGCCCCGTCCGCCTGATTCTGGTTGTAGTACCGGCTGTGTTACCATGTACTTCAGCCACAACTCCCCGTCGATGTTGTCCCAGCGTCGTGAGGGGTCCCTTGACATTCTGTGTCGGAATTGTTGGTCGTAGGTTGACCAGGCATCCCCCCCGAATCGAAGTGCCGCCGTTCTTATGGTTTCCATGTAGGACAGCAACCCCTGGGTTGTGCGGACCTCGGAGTGCCTACTAACATATATACACATGAAAATGTGGAAAGCTGAAGTCGAGCTTGCCAGGGACAGGCGCTTTGGTTGCTGCTTTATTGGTTTAAAAATTACCTTACCTGAGGAGTCGTACGCCATGGTAATCGTACCGTCCTCGTGACTTCCCTCGGTGTTTGGTAGGATTGTGCCGAGGTCGACATACTCGCCACGCCAGATTTTTTCCCTCACCTGTTGTTTGACGTGCGCGTCTATTCCGTCCGCACGGAAGGAAAGGGAATCCCCGTATCCTGCGATGTGATTGGCTGGCCAAGCCGCGTCACCGTCGGCCTCGTTGTGAGCATCGGGGATTCTCCCTATGTTGGGCGAAATGGCGGGAGAACTAAAACCAAGCCTTACCTGTTGGTTTGCGCTAACCGGGCCGGGCGCTGAATGTTCCAGCAACTGGAGTATTTTTTCCAGTTGCTCGTTTACCTGGGTAGCCGAGTTAGCAGCCTGCGCAGCATTTACAAGCTGCGCCGATTGTACGTTAATTCTGTTGCCACCTTCGATATTTCCGTAATTGGCAGACTCACCATCAGCTGTTGCCTCCTGTACAATGTGTACTCCGGGGGTTTGTCTTCTGGTTGTCCTGGCCTGCTTGGCTCCCCTCACAAGCTTGTGGTTGACGGCTGCTCTTCTCTTGGGAGGCATCACGAAAGGTCGAGGTGGTAAGATGGTATTCCACAAGCGTAAAATTGTCCCGAGGGTGAAGTTCGGGAGTAGAACGGAATAAATGCGATACGGCGAGTGCTGAAATATATGGTATTCGGCGAAACGGTCGCAATTGTGTAAATGCGATACGGCGAGTGTTGGAATAGATGGTATTCAAAGCGTAATCGGCGAAACGGTCGCGACTGGGTACAAAGGAAACGTACAAAGCGAAAGCGATTAGATACAGTGACACACGTGTGTACTTGGGGAAGGGCTGTTCGCGAATGACGGACTAACAAAGGGCGGGATGATGCTTGCGCGGGATTATTCCCCGGGCACGGTGCCGAGTGGTGACCCGGGGTGATTGAGTTACGAGGGGTGATTGGGTTACAGACGTAATTAGCCCATGGTTTGGATACGCGCGATAAAGTCATTTAGTAGTTAGTACTAAATGGAAATATGAGATGGCGCCTGGTAGAATGCACCTGCTAAATATCCATGTGAGATGGCAAGTGATATATATCCCTGGGAGATTGCACCTGCTAAGTATCCCTGTAAGATGGTACATGCTAAATATCCCTGGTAGAGTGCACCTGTTAAATATCCCTGCGAAATTGCACCTGTTCAACACCCCTGTCAGATTGCACCTGTTAAATATCCCTGTGAGATGGCGCATGTTAATCATCCCAGTGAGATTCCATCTGCTAAATTTACCTGAGAGATTGCACCTGATAAATATCCCTGTGAGCTTTCACCTGCCAAATATCTCTGTGAGATTGCACCTGCTAAATATCTCTGTGAGATTGCACCTGTTTAATATCTCTGAGATTGCACCTGCTAAACATCCCCGTGAGATTGAACTTCTTACCTATCCCTGTGAGATGGCGCATACTAATCGTCCCAGTAAGATTCCACCTGCTAAATATCCCTGTTAGATCCCTAGTAGATGTAAGGTGCTAAATACAACATATGAGATGGCGAATGCTAAATATCCCTGGTAGATTCCACCTGCTAAATAACCCCGGGAGATGGCGCCTGCTAAATATCCATCAGGGATATCACCTACTAAATATCCCTGTGAGATTGCACCCGCTAAATATCCCTGTGAAAATGCACCCGCTAAATATCCCTTTGAGATTGCACCCGCTAAATATCCCTGTGAGATTGCACCTGCTAAACATCCCTGTGAGATTGCACCCGCTACATATCCCTGTCAGATTGCACCTGATAAATATCCCTGTGAGATTGCACCTGCTAAACATCCCCGTGAGATTGCACCTGCTAAACATCCCTGTGAGATTGCATCTGTTAAATATCCCTGTGAGATGGCACCTGCTAAATATCCCTGTGAGATTGCACCTGTTAAATATCCCTATGAGATTGCACCTGTTAAATATTCCTGTGAGATTGCACCCGCTTAATATCCCTGTGAGAATGCACCTGTTAAATATCCCTGTGAGATTGCACCCGCTAAATATCCCTGTGATATTGCACCCGCTAAATATCCCTGTGAAATTGCACCCGCTAAATATCCCTGTAAGATTGCACCTGTTAAATATCCCTGTGAGATTGCACCTGTTAAATATCCCTTTGAGATTGCACCCGCTAAATATCCCTGTGAGATTGCATCTGTTAAATATCCCTGTGAGATGGCACCTGCTAAATATCCCTGTGAGATTGCACCTGTTAAATATCCCTATGAGATTGCACCTGTTAAATATTCCTGTGAGATTGCACCCGCTTAATATCCCTGTGAGAATGCACCTGTTAAATATCCCTGTGAGATTGCACCTGTTAAATATCCCTGTGATATTGCACCCGCTAAATATCCCTGTGAAATTGCACCCGCTAAATATCCCTGTGAGATTGCACCTGTTAAATATCCCTGTGAGATTGCACCTGTTAAATATCCCTTTGAGATTGCACCCGCTAAATATCCCTGTGAGATTGCACCCGCTAAACATCCCTGTGAGATTGCACCCGCTAAATATCCCTGTGAGATTGCACCTGTTAAATATCCCTGTGAGGTGGTGCGTGTTAAACATCCCTGTGAGATTGCACCCGCTACATATCCCTGTGAGATTGCAGCTGTTTAACATCCCTGTGAGATTGCATCTGTTAAATATCCCTGTGAGATTGCACCTCCTAAATATCCCTGTGAGATTGCACCTGTTAAATATCCCTGTGAGATTGCACCTGTTAAATATTCCTGTGAGATTGCACCCGCTAAATATCCCTGTGATAATGCACCTGTTAAATATCCCTGTGAGATTGCACCCGCTAAATATCCCTGTGAGGTTGCACCTGTTAAATATCCCTGTGAGATTGCACCTGTTAAATATCCCTGTGAGATTGCACCCGCTAAATATCCCCCATGAGGTGGTGCGTGTTAAACATCTCCGTGAGATTGCACCTGCTACACATCCCTGTGAGATTGCACCCGCTAAACATCCCTGTGAGATTGCACCCGCTACATATCCCTGTGAGATTGCACCTGTTAAATATCCCGGTGAGATTGCACCTGCTAAACATCCCCGTGAGATTGCACCTGCTAAACATCCCTTTGAGATTGCATCTGTTAAATATCCCTGTGAGATTGCACCTTCTAAATATCCCTGTGAGATTGCACCTGTTAAATGTCCCTGTGAGACTGCACCTGTAAAATATCCCTGTGAGAATGCACCTGTTAAATAACCCTGTGAGATTGCACCCGCTAAATATCCCTGTGAGATTGCACCTGTTAAATATCCCTGTGATATTGCACCCGCTAAATATCCCTGTGAGATTGCACCTGTTAAATATCCCTGTGCGATTGCACCTGTTAAATATTCCTGTGAGATTGAACTTCTTACATATCCCTGTGAGATTGCACCCTCTAAATATCCCTGTGAGATTACATCTGCTCAATGTCCCTGGTAAATTCCACCTGTGAAATATCCCAGCGAGATGGCGCCTGCTTAATATCCCTGAGAGATACCATCTGCTAAAAATCCCTGTGAGATTGCACCTGCTTAATATCTCCCGTGAGATTGCGCCTGCTACATATCCGTGTGAGATTGCTCCTGCTAAACATCCCCGTTAGATTGCACCCGCTAAATATCCCTGTGAGATTGCACCTGTTAAATATCCCTTTGAGATTACATCTGCTCAATGTCCCTGGTAAATTCCACCTGTTAAATATCCCAGCGAGATGGCGCCTGCTTAATATCCCTGAGAGATACCATCTGCTAAAAATCCCTGTGAGATTGCACCTGCTTAAAATCCCCCGTGAGATTGCGCCTGCTACATATCCGTGTGAGATTGCACAAGCTAAATATCCAAAGTAGCTGGCCCCAGCTTAATATCCCTGGGAGATTGCAGCTGCCAAAATATCCATGGATAATGTGTGTTTATTCTGTGAGGAACCGTCTAGTACATCTGATCCACTGCATGAAGCATTGACCAAAATGATCAGTGAGAGAGTTCGAAGATGTGCAACAAAGCTATCTGATGATCGTATCTTAGCAAAAGTATCGTCTATAGGCTAGTGAGGCAAAGTACCACTCTAAGTGTTTGATCGCCCGGCATAATAAAGCAGCCAGACTTAAAACATCAGAACAAAACGAGAACAGTGAGGGTAAAAAGACAGAGGCCATTTATGCCAGAGCATTTGCAGAACTTTTGATTTGATGAAGATGCACTTACTGACAGAGAATCACTGAACACATCACCTGTACTTAAACTCTCCAATTTAGTTCAGCTGTACAGTGACAGACTTTCACAACTTTGAGTGGAAGCTCCATGAATACAGTCTACAAGGCTGAAACATCGCATTCTGGCTAATTTTCCTGAGTTGCAGGCCTATCCAACGATGATGTTGGTACAGCTTTGCGGAAGGCCATTGACATTGATGTTGATGACAATGCATTTGTACTTTCTCAGGCAGCAAGAATCGTGCGGAATGAAATGTTCAATGCATCAACATCGTTTGATGGCAAATTTTCCAAAGGCTGTCAAGTTGAAGTGGTTCCTTATGCTTTACTCACTCTTGTGGCCATGGTTCTGTATGGAGCGAGTATTACGGAACAGTCGGTTGTACCAGAGAACGAAGCACTACTCAGCATGTGTTGGTTACTACTTTTTAACGCTACAAGACACAATCCAAAGGAAATGCAACCAATACGCCACAACAAGTCTCTGGAGCCTCCTTTGCCCGTGTATTTTGGGATCCTCCTTCACAACAAGACACAAGCATGAACTGTTTGAAAAACCCTTTGTCCTAGGACTGTCAGTGTCCTATAACCGAGTTCTTGAGATTTCAACTGATATTGGCACCAAGACTTGTAAATGTTATGAACGATTGAACACAGTTTGTCCACCAGACTTGAAAATTGGCGTGTTTACAACATCTGCTGTGGATAACATCAATCATCAAACAAGTGCTACCCCTGCGGGGAGTTCATAACCACGATGGATATCAGTCCACCTCTGAGACATGGTGACCTTGTCAAAGCTGCACTCCGATGTCCATGCTCAGTTCTTATATGGACAGTTCACAGTGAACAAGACAACTCATGCCTACTCAAGAATTATTATTGATCAAGCACAGGAGCAAAATAATGCTGTGGTAAAAGATGATGGTGGAGCTGTTGGGCTGACTGAGAATCCGGCTGCTCTCCAGAGATGGATGGTCAGTGGACCTGAGATGGCACTTTGAAGTGTCATTGGATGATGCACAGAAGAAACCTGACATGCGCCATCATGAACAACGTCCAGGTGTGCAAAAGGCTTTCATTGGGGATGTCACTTCACTGAAATCTGTTATTGAAGAGTATGGTAATCCATTCCTTGAAACTAGTTGCGACCTTTTTGTACTTGATACACAGGACATTGCTGATAAATCTGTTAATGACAACGTGTATAAGCTTGAAAAGCTTGGATGTGAACAATACAACACATTTGTGAAACAGCGGCTTGTAGAAAGTTCAAAACCTATAGACGACCAAAATAAAAAAGAACAAACTTTTTCTCTTTAGTACACCAGTGACACGACAGTAAACTAAAGCTCAGGAATTTGTTTCAGCGCTGAAATGTTACAGACATCTCTTTTCAAGACTCTATG